TCCTTCTAGGTACACTTGCACTTAGTTTTTGAAGGAACTTGGCTGGTAGGCTGTTCTGAACATAATGGAGAACTAACCACAGATCTTCTGTGGATGTCGGCTTCCTCACATACTTCTGTCTCTTCATGTAATCTCAGACAACCTCGATAATGTTGAGATCAGGGCTCTATTGGCCCATACCATCACTTCCAGTACTTCTTGTTCTTCTTTACACTGAAGATAACTCTTAATGACTTTGGCTGTGTGTTTGGGGTCGTTGTCCTGCTGCAGAATACATTTGGGGCCAATCATACGCCTACCTGATGGTATTGCATGATGGATAAGCATCTACCTGTATTTCTCAGCATTGAGAACACCATTAATCCTAACCAGATCTCCAACTCTGGTTAGGATTTGCAGAAATGCAGCCCCAAACATTCAAGGAACCTCCACCATTCTTCACTGTTGCCTGCAGATACTCGTTATTGTACCGCTCTCCAGCACTTCGATGAACAAACTGCCTTCTGTTACAGCCACATATTTCAAATTTTAACTCCTTAGTCCAGAGCACCTGCTGCCATTTTTCTGCATCGCAGTTCTATGTTTTCATGCATACTTGAGTTGCTTGGCCTTGTTTCCACGTCGGAGGTATGGCTTTTTGGCTGCAACTCTTCCAATGAAGACCACTTCTTGTCAGACTTCTCCAGACAGTAGTTGGGTGTACCTGGGTCCCACTGGTTTCTGCCAGTTCTGAGCTGATGGAGCTACTGGACATCTTCCGATTTCGAAGGGTAATAAGCTTGATGTGTCTTTCATCTGCTGCACTAAGTTTCCCTGGTCGACCACTGTGACTCAGATCCTCAGCATTGCCCATTTCTTTGTGCTTCTTCAAAAGACCTCGAACAGCACATCTTGAAACCCCAGTCTGTTTTGAAATCTTTGTCTGGGAGAGACCTTGCTGATGCTGTATAACTACCTTGTGTCTTGTTGCTGTGCTCAATCTTGCCATGACATAAAACTGTCTTTCACAACATCATCGGGAAAATGGTAGCAGAGTTTGGCTGTTCCTCACCCAGTTTTAAGCCTCCTACACAGATGTTTGTATTTCAGTTCATGATTGTGTTTCAACCTACGTGTGACATTGATGATCATTAGCACCTGTTTGTTATAAATGATTGATCATACACCTGACATCCTACAAAATCGCTAACTTTGTGCAAGTCTACCTATAAGAATTGATGCTGGTTTGAAGGCAAAACTTAGTAACACCAAATATTCATTTGATTTAGATTTGTAGATTTGTTCGCTCACTTTGCATTTTGTAAATTGATAAAAATAAACAATCATTATTTATATTTCTGAAAGCATTCTTTGTTTACAGTATTTTTTCACACCTGCCTAAAAGCTTTGCACGACCTTAGAAACATTTACAACATGGCTGTCAAAGCGGCTTGATTTTGTGGATCACACATCTCAGTTTAGGCACACAGGGACCAGACCAGTAAAATCACTGCACAATAACCTTTGGAGAGGAAATCCCCCCAGCAAATATAGATGTAAAGAAATACAAATAAATTGTGATTTTGAATTCTTGAGAAAATCAATGCACCATCAACAGTACTTCTTGGTTTCTTTACCTTCATTCAGTCTGCTGACTCCACAAAAAATACTTTAGCATGGCTACATACCTTAACCGTCTCACTTCACTGTGTGTGAGTAAACACACACTCTGAAGTGAGTGATTCACTAGTCACACAAAAAATACATACATAAAGAAAGCAGAACTGCATGTATTAAACTGATGGACTGCAAGGCAGCTGCTCACTTGGAAATTAAGCACTAGCTGATGGCAGTACTTACTGCATTTTTACACCACGAGGAGGTTCTTTTTTTAACAGTCAAAAAAGTAAAGCAACAACTGTTTTAAGGTGTTCCAAGGTATCAGATGGCAAATCAGCCAATACTGACATTTCAGATCCAGATCCTGCTGGTTTGGGAAATGTAAACCTGACAGAAGAATTAATATATATAGGTTATTGTTTATTTATTTGTTATGTGCATTGAGCAGTATGATTGTGGCGGACAACTAAAGGTAAAATTAAAGATCCAGGGTATTTTATGTTCCAGCTTCACTATTACCTTCTCTTTTCCCTGACAATGCAACTTAACAATAGCTGTGCAGATGGCAGAAGGCCTGCACTGTCAAAGTGATGGGATCATGTCAGATAGATGCTGGAGATCAAAGGGTTGGTCATATGGGGCCATAATCAGTGGCACTGTGAGAAAATCTGCATAGGTAAAATCTGAAATATACCAAGATCACCTTATGAGTGCCTACAATTCTAATGAATAATTACAGCATCAGTGTGTTGACTGCATGTGGGGAACAGGGTAAAGGGTAATTTAGTCAAGCAGAGCTCCTCAGCAAGATACAAAGGACATTCACATAATGCAGATACAAATATGCTTAATGGTATAATGGCTTAAACACATTTATCCTTTAAAATTCTCTCAAGTAGTGTTTGTTTAGTTGATCTTTAGGATCCTGAGTAGATCTGTTAAATATTAATTAACATCTCAAACCCATACATATATGTGACATGTGGCATTCAGCCATCTGCTTCATGCCACAAATTGTTGCCAAAAGTAAATAAAGAAGTTGAGTTAAAAGACAGAGTTACAGATGACAAGAGGTTACCACACCAATAAAAGATGTTAAATGCGCTGCACCAGCACAAAAGCAGAAGAATGATGAAAAGGTAAGCGTCCAGAAACCACTTTAGGAAGAGGAAGAGAGATTTTTCTTTAATCCCTGTGAGGCAAAGCAACTTAATAGAAACTTCCTCTTATCAGGCATGATGCAGAGAACTTACCATTGCCTCTGCTTCACTTTGATGTGTTTTGTGTAGAGAGCTCATACTGCTTCACCACTTCCATGCACATACACAGCATTGCAACCCTTTAGTAGGCTGCACCATGCAATAGATATTTGCTGTGAAGATATGGTACTCCAAAAGTGCTGTGTTTTTTCCTCTTCCTATATTTACACAAACACAGTGTTTTGGAGTTTCAGATCAGATTCACAGACGTAGAAAACAAATGATCATCCATTATAAACAATATTTTAATATAAGAAATGTTATATTATTATTATTATAATATTAGACCACCTGTCAAAAAACACATAATTTAGAAATTGTCAAAAACTTGTTTTAAACAAAAATTATATTGTTATTTATCAGGTAAAAAGTAAATTAAATTCACATGGTTTTACCCAGATTCTAGGTGGAACAATAGTTCTCAGAAGTCAGCAATAAATCAAGCATTACACTCAACCACTAAAACTAATTATTCTGTTCAGGAATGCAAGTAAATAATTGTAATGTGGCATCTTAATTAAAAAAAAAAACAAAAAACCCTAATAATGCACCTTAGTATTTATTTCTGCTCTTTTGTGAAACAGTAAATGTGAAAATTCGTGGCTACAACAATAATTATATTTTAGCATTTAAATATCTTTTTGAATAAAGAGCTTGTGCACACACTGGTGGATTTTATTTTTACAGAAACATCAAAAACAATTTTGATCATTATTAATACCGTTAATTGAAGACATCTGTGGCATAAACCTTACTTCTTAAATTGAGAGTTTTAAGTCCTGTATATAATCTACATATGTATACTATAATAGCTCATCCACAGACCCTGATCACATTTTTAAAGATGACTATAGCTGGGGTTCCATATTATTTTTTTGCTGTTGGGTCTGGTCATGAGTGATGAATGAATTTACTTCCATTATTATTTTACGTAGAGCTGCAGCTAAAAGAAAAACCAAAAAACTACCTACCTTCTCCATCTGACTTTTGTTTTTGTTGCTGTGATTCCCAAAAGATTGGTTAGCAGTTGTGAAGGAGACAGTTCACTTGTTTGGCAGTTCTAAAGAACAAGCCAGAGTGGTTAATTTTCTGTGTTATGATTTGTTCTTTTTAGCTCAAAAGGAACCTTGAAAAAAGGCTGTTTGTTTGTTTTTATTTCTGTAAAGAAAACTAACCCGATTACTCCAAGTTGGTCACCTCCTACAAAGAAATAATACCGTCCCTCACCTGAAAGTCCTGCCCTTTGCCACTGTGCTTGTCTGAAATGTTGCCTTTATTTCTTATCAGTCTACAATCACTGCCATGCTGAAAACTGAAACTGTTCCTAATCCAGTCCAGGGCCCTATTTCAGGAAGCCGGTTTAGAAAACTCAGAGTGAAAAACGATACTCAGGGTTGAGTAACCCCGAACTGTCCAACTCGGAATATTCGGTTTCAGAAAGGCTGATAACAATTAGTTCAGTCAACGCGGAGTTGCTTTAACCCCAAGTTAAGCGCGCGCACGAGGATACATAAAGCCCTGATTAGTGGAGCACAGATTAAGCGAGTCACCATGGAGACGGAGGGAAAGAAGGCGCGGTCAATGTATTTTACAGCGCTTGAGGCCGAAATTCTGATGGCAGCATATGCCGATAACATGCAAATTCCGCGGAAAAAAAGTAACGCAGCCTCAGCTGCAAAAGAAAGAGAGCATGCATGGCAAAACATAGAGTCAATGCGTGAGTGTTAATTTAAACATTGATCTAGGGATTTCCACCCATTTAACACGTTATTTTATCATATGTTATTTTATTTTGTATTTCATACATTTTATTTTGTGATGTGATGTGAGCGCAGGTGCAACCCAACAGGCCCCAAACGTTCCTGGCAGCAAGTAAAAATGAAATATAAAAATATAGTCCAAACAGGTGAGGTGTAATTGTATTATGAGCCATAGTGCTTGGTCTGTTTGTCCGATGTAAATCAATTGCAGTTAGAGGCTACATTAACTTCCCCTCTGTAAGCACTTATTGAAATTATCTGAGCACATTACAAGTACATAGTTGCTTACTCTGTATGCTCAAATGTGACCCGTTATAGCCAACAGAAAAAAAGCGGAGGCCCGAAAAACAGGTGGAGGTCCTCCACCACCACCACTCACAGAGCCTGGCCACTTGGCTTCCACATTTGTGATAATGTTGGCAGCATCACATATGATCTTCACAGTGCAGAGAACACAAATTAGCATCCATTACTATAATGAAATAATTTGTTAGTTTGAAATGCTACAGGGAACCATGTACCTGTACATTAATGCTGTGGAAAGACTTCCTGTTCACATAGTCTCCTTCATTTACTGAAGGAGCAATGATTGGAATGTGAGTGCCATCTATACAGCCAATCACGCCTGGGAACCGTGAGAATAAATTTAAAATTTAAGTAGTAGTTCAAGTATCACCACATCATGAATTAAGTTTTGTTCATCCTGATACCTGCAATTTTGTGGCATCCCTCTTTGATAAATCTTGTGGGTCTATGACCGGGGAACACAAACGAGTACAGGAGACGTTTCAGTGCAACTGTAACATTCCTGACTGCCCGACAGACGGTAGCCTTGGAAACGTGCTCAGCATCACCAATATTATACAGAAAGCTCCCGTTTGCAAAAAACCGAAGTGCAATACAAATAATATGTACAGAACTGAGAGGATGTCCGCGATGTGTCACATGAGCAATATTAGGCCTGAGGATGTTCTTCAAATAAATTATAGATTGTGCTGAAAAACGGTAACGTTCACACAGGAAATCATCAGGAAATGATAAAATGTCCAAACGCGCTCTAATCACTCTCTCCCGGCGGAGAGCTCTGCGGAGAATTTGGGCTTCAACATCTACTGGCTCTTCAAGGAAGGGGCACGCCATGTCTGACACTTCCTACAGTCAGGTTTCCGACAAAGGGGCGGAGACAGTCAGGGTTAGTTGAAGTAAACCTGCTAGGGGGCAGGTTAGCTTCACGGAGTGTGTCGTCATAGTGACTCACTCAGGATTAATCTAAACCCGCTTTGTGAAACTGAAAACCCAGAGTTTTCGTTAACTCAGGGTATACTTACTCAGAGTTTGCACTAAACCGGCTTCCTGAAATAGGGCCCAGGTGATGAAGCTTCAGTGATCAGTAGAAGGCTCAACTAAAGAGCCAAATACCAAATCTCAGGTCCTGTATTAGGTCTTTATTAATGTTATTTATTTTATTTTTTTTCTTAGGGACATGCCTTTTAGATGCCATTTACCTACTGTCCATATTTATTAGGCCATTTCCCCTTTTTTTCTCCATTTATTGAGTTTCCACAGTTTTCTTTAAGGACACACTGCACACCATATGTTGAGATATGCTAGGCTTTTATCTAGTAACGCTTTGGGAAGCACATTGTTTGTGCAAAAATAGTATTTTGTGTCTCTCTACTTTGTTATATTTAGCATTTTTCATAGATTGAGCAAAAAAAAAAAAGAATAAATGATGTGTTTTTTGGGACAGGTTTGTATTAACACAGTGCCAATAGCACCAATGAGGACCAATGAGCACAACTCACCTTTGATTGTCTGTCTAACAGAGAACTATACTTAGCTGAGTTCCACTGCTTTTATTCTGGATATATACTAGAATAAAGTCATTATTAATGTGAATTTCTGTGTTGGTAGAATATACAATAGATATTACAAAAGATTTAGGCTTTTTGACAATTTATGATAGTTTCTGACTTTAGTTTCACAAACAAATTGCCTTTAATTCCCAACTTGAGTTACACCGTGAGTTGTTGCAGATCTGGTCAAGCAACCATTTCTAAGGCAATGGCTGTGCCATGGTTTCAAAACAGCAAATGCACTTTAGGTGAATTCAGGTGAAGGCAGTTATAATAAAACTATAATAAAACTTGTGTGCATTACATTTGTATAAGTGGTTCAGACAGAGCCCATAGTTTCTCTGTAACAGTAAAAATAACATCTTATTTCGTATGTTTTCTTCACGATTTTCCGACAAAAGACTTTTCAGGAAGCAAGGTGAAATGAAGCTAGTCAGAAGTAATTGGAGTTTGGGGACTTAAAGAGACAAGGATATAACACTTTTTTTCAGAATACTGAAGAACTGAGGTCCAGCATAAGATGTAAACGTTTTCAAGAAAAAAACAACAACAACAGAGTTGGAAATGAACAGAATAGATCCCCTTTGAATTTTACTTAATAGTGCATTAAATCCCTTCCTGGTTTTTGTGTATTGAGCATCTTTTCCTACAGAGGTGGCTGTATACCATGAGGATTTCACCTTGTCATAATTTAACTGAGAAAGAAATATGATACAAATCAATAAAACTAAGACGCCATTCCTCATACAGTGATTAAAATACTTGCTGGTAAGCCTGACACATGATTGCAGTGCTTATAACAGATTGTGTGAAGCGCTTTGATGAAATATTAATACAATCATAACACAATGCCTTTGTTCTCTGTGCCAACACAGAGGTGGTAAATCCTCTGCAATGATAAGAGCAATATTCTGCCATCACCATAGTGACACTAGTTTGGGTTTTAATCAAAACGTTGTGATGATCATGTAACATTAGCTGGTCCCATTAAAACAAGTAAACAAAGGCAGGAACGTTGTCTTTGTCAAAAGCACTTGTTGCTTCTGCACAGTTACACTGGGCACCTTAATTGGGTTCTACTTATGTGTCATTGTAATTTACATTACTTTATACAATCTTGTTATCATAAATGGCAGTACTGTGCAAAGATAATTATGTAATTATGTTAGCTATACAATAGTTGGCCTAGCTGACTTCAAATCATTTGAGATGTCTTTTGAAACTCATATGTTCTTTTCTTAAATAATACATTTTTAAAATAATATAAACAGAAGTAACAAAAATTATCACACTTATACAATCAGGTCAATTCATCGGGAAAAAAAATAGACATTATTTTGCAGAGGTGTGGACTCGAGTCACATGACTTGGACTCGAGTCAGACTCGAGTCATTAATTTTATGACTTTAGACTTGACTTGAAAAAATGTTCTAAGACTTGTGACTTGACTTGGACTTTTACACCAATGACTTGGGACTTGAATTGGACTTGAACCGGTTTACTTGAAAAGACTTGATATTTTACCCCAAATATAAAATTTAACATGCATATTATATAGAGATTGAAAATGTGACGTCATTCACGGGTAGAACCGCAAAGGATTCTGGGAACTCGTGGCAAGCGGTACTAGCGCACGCAGGCTTTCAATTGAAATCAGTCACACAGCGATAAAAAGAAACACAAAAATGTCAAGAAGCTGTTGTATTATTAACTGCAATAGCCGGTCGCATGACAGCCACGGGAAGCCGACGGGTAAAGAGATCGGTTGTTATCGGATTATGTTGTTGAAGAGAAATTGTTCGAGCCATGTTTCCAAAGTAACAAAGACGCGACGGATGGTCTGGATTGCAGCCATTCAAAGATCAAATATAACGTCCCAGAACCCTCCAGCTCACAGGTTAGTCTGCTCCAAGCATTTACACGAAGGTCAGTGTCTTTTAGTACTTAATACGTCATTTTCATAACATAATTGGTGATATAGGTTACAAGCAAGTCTGGCGCTGAACAGAAATTGTCGCGCTATGCTCCTTTGTTTATTGTGCATAAATAGTGAATTGTCCTGACACAATATTGCGTTTCGCTTCTGTTATTATGGTACATTGACAAAAACATATACTTTTATTCACAGGATAAAACAGGTTTTTTGTATCACTAATTGCCCAGTACGATTACAGCATACAGTATTATTGTCACTGCTACATTTCTGTGATGCTACCAGAAATTATTTCCACTACTAATTAATTACCGTTGAGCTCAAAGGTCCTATTAATAAACGGTTAACGAATGTGTATTTATGACGACGATTTGTGAGACTGGTAAACTTATGATACGTACGATGGTCTTTCGTTCTACACGGTGCATTTCAAGGTCCTGCACCCATCCGTCGGTAAACTGTACCTGGGCTTGTTGCAGTGACCGGAAGTTACTAAACTTCATGAGTGTGTGCACTCACTCCAAGAACCGTATGATTATAAATATGCATATAAATATGCTAAGATGAGATAGCTGACTTCATCTAACTAGCAAATGTTTTCCAGGCTACGTTGGTGATTCAGTTTTTTTTAATGTGTATGATATTTTTGTCATGCGATTTTAAAGCCGGTCCTACAACCGCATCCAAGAATAACATGCAGCTTATCTCAGAACTGTCGGTGAAAATTATTCTTGGAGCTAGGTTTAATTGAGCTGCATTTTAAAGAGGTGCAATTTCACAATTTGTGTATATTTTCTAAGTTCACTATTTTGTCATGTGTTGAGAAAAACACAGATTAAAAAATTACATGGTCTAATATTTACATTTAGCATATAACTGCAACATTATTTTTTCGTTTTTTTTTTTAAAGACTCGAAAGGACTTGAAATTCAAATTTTCAGACTTGTGACTTGACTCGGACTTTTACACCAGTGACTTGAGACTCGACTCTGACTTGCCTGACATTACTTGAGACTTGACTTGAGACTTGAGGATAAAGACTTGAGACTTACTTGAGACTTGCAAAACAATGACTTGGTCCCACCTCTGTTATTTTGTAGTTTTAGCTCTGCACTGTGGATATGATGTGATTGAAGAGCAGACTACCAGCTTTTAATTCAAAGGGTTTAACAAGTATTGCATGAACATTTTAGGAATTACAGCCCTTTTTACTCACAGTTCCCCATTTTCAGAGGATCGATTTAATTGGACAGTTGACTGACAAGCAGTTTGGCTAGTTAAGGTCTGTTCCCTTGTGATTTCATCAAAAATGAAGCAGATATAATATCTGAAGTTGATTCAAAGCATTGAATTTATATTTTATAGCTTTGCAATGTGATTTTAAATATGAGGACCAAAGAGACATCAGTGCAAAGGAGAAAAGCCATCATTAGACTGAAAAATCAAACCAATGAGAGAGCGAAAAATTGAGGTGTGGCCAAATCAGTAGTTTGGTATATTCTTAAAAAGAATGAATGCACTGGTCAGCAACACCAAAAGTTAGAACACTCTCAAGAAGGTAGACATATAATTATCAAGCCCTATAATCAAGAGATGTCTTCACGAATGGAAATAAAGTGAGTTTACAACAAGGTGTAAAACACGGGTTACACGTATGAACAAGAGGGGCAGATTAAACTTGGCCGGTAACAACTATCGCATTTTCTTGTGGTTGAGGTCAATGAGATTCAGATTTTTTCCGAGACTTTTAGTAGATGCACCTGTGACATCATTTTGAAAATCCTACATCATCTAGTTCTCGAGTTATCGCATTAACAATCTTAGGTATATGTGACCTGTTATTGCTGAGGGGTTAAAAAAAAACAACAACAACAGATAAACCCAAGACTTGTAGCAGAAAGACGGGAAGACAAAAAATATGGTGAAAGAGAGAAACAGCTCATGATCCAGAGCATACCACATTATCTGTCAAAAATGATGGAATCAATGTTATGGATGGGCATGTTTGGCTGCCAGTGGAACCGAGTTACTAATGTTCATTGATGATGTGACTGCTGATAGAAGCACAGGATGAATTCAGGGCTATACTCTCTGCTCAGATACAGCCAAATAGTGCAACATGGATTGGACTCTGCTTCCCAGTGCAAATGGATAATGACCAAAAGCATAGCGCAAAAGCAACTCAAGAGTTTCTTAAGGCAAAGAAATGGGATGTTCTTCAATGGCCGAGCCAGTCACCAGACTGAATGCAGAATGACCCACAAACATGCAGCTGCAGTAATGGCTTAGCAAAGCCTTGAAAGAGAGGAAACACAGTATTTGGTGATGCCCATGTGTTTGGGACTTCAAAG